TTGTGGGTTTGTGAAGGCTGTGCCATACATAATGCCATTTCTGCAGGAGATGAGGAGCGAGCATGATGAAGCTTTTGCTAATCAGGAAAACATAAATTCGAGGGAGCTGGGAAAGCAGCATCAGCTATAGCTTGTCCCAAACTGAAAAATGACAGTTACGTTGTTGGTGTTAAAAACCTGTTTGAAATGGGCTAGAAACACGCACTGCGTGCACAACTGTTTTCTCCTGTTATTCCCGGATACCACACAGCTTCCTAAAAATAAGCAATTCAGTGGGGAGCCTCCTTAGATGAAGCTAATGAGCCGGGTGTTGTAGCTGTGGGATAGTACATGTGGGATGCAGCTGCAGGTTGTGTAAACAGCTTCTGTAGAAGAGGTGTGAAAGTCTGCCTATACTCTTCTCCAAATGCACTTAGCCTGGGTTGTCATGGCTGGGGCGGCCACGCCTTCTGTAGAAGAGGTGTGAAAGTCTGCCTATACTCTTCTCCAAATGCATTTAGCCTGGGTTGTCATGGCTGGGACGCCCACGCTGGGGATCCAGGCTCTCCTGCCGTTCACAGCATACGGATGCAGATGCCATGGCTTCTGGGGGTCCTGGTAGATTGTTCCCAGGCTTAGTTGACCTTGGTGGTGGTGGATACTCTGACCTCGTCCCAGTTCATTCCCCTCTGCCCTCACTCCCCCTCCCTAGCGCACAGGTAAGGTTTGCAGGCAGTGCGTAAACTTTCCTCCCTCATGGTTTGGGTTGGAAGGGACCTTTAAAGGTCATCTAGTGCAACCCTCCTGCAATGAGCAGGGACATCTTCAACTAGATCAGGTTGCTCACACTAGTGGAAAGGGGAGGATGGTTTGCCTCCAGAGAAAGGAAAGAGGTGTTTTCTGCGCATAACGCCTAGCTGCTGAGCCCAGACGTAACTCTAGTTTAGGCAAAATCTGATGCAGATCGCTATCATAGCTAGCTTTTCAGCACTGCATTAAAAGCCCTGCATTTAACAGCTTCACAGCCATACTCGCTCCAGGAAATGTCCACAAGATGGGGCCCCTCTCCTTGATTGTCACGAAGACGACGACTTTTGGAGGGGGGTTTGGCTCTAATGACAATAATCAACACTGAATGGTCACTGTCCAATCCTTCGGTAATGGTACACCACTGTCAGAGAAACCTGGCTTCCTAGTACTTGGGGAACTGTAGCAAGGAAAGCTGCTAAATGTTGTGCAGCAGGGCACTGCAGCCTGCTGGGTTATGATAAAAGGTGGAATGTCACCTCCTCCTTAGGACTCTGTAGTTATTCAGAGGAAGCCCTGGTTGTGAACATTGTCACACCCTGCATTTTATTCGCTCTACTGAACGTTTATCAACTTATCTCCTGTATGTGGCAAAATCAGATTGCCTTGGGATATCATTAAAACATGATAAGCCAATGAGTTGGAAGAAGTGTCATTTGAATTGTACCCTGAGAGTATTCTGTTTATGCTTGCTCATCATGGGTAAGATCTTTTTTCTCATATAAGCAAAGATAAATAGAAGTATACTGAGCTGCTTAAGGAAATTTTAACCCTGACAAACAGTGTTAGTTCCAAAATGCCGAGTTAATCTCCTTGCAATTCTCTGTTATTTAAACTTGATTGGCCAAATAGTGCAAAATCACATTAAAATATCTCAGCAAACTAAAATTCAATTGAGAGGGGATGCATCTTAGGCAACCCAAATATATATCACTGAAGAAGTAGCATTCAAAGAATAGCAACTAGTAAATCTGAACTTTGGCCATCCAAGCATTGCCAGCACTCGTTAAAGGTAGGAGAAGCCTCTGCTTATTGTATGGACTATTGTGGAGACCATTTTTTCCAGTTTCGTTTCTAGCACTCCTGTCACTTGAGGATGAGAAAACAGGGAGTTGCCACCTTGATGACATGCCACAGAGGAAGCAGTAAAAGGGCTGATGAGGTGTTTCTGAGCAATGGGAAGAACAAATAGAGGGATGAAAGAGAAGGCACAGAAGTGTTTCAAACTAGAGCTGTTTTGAGTCTTGATAACTATTTCTATGTTGATGCTTTAGCCCGAGGCTCACCACTGTGGGTGGGAAAATAGCGCAGATGCTGTTGTGCTATGGCTGCAATATTACAGATTCACAGATTGGACTCTCTGCCTGAACTGAGTCTTACCAAAATTGTTTTGCTGTTTAGTTTTATTTATATAGAAGAGGCTTATGTGATAACCCAAATCTTGAAACTGGGAAAGGTAAATCAAGGCAATGGAAATGCTAGATCTGGGCTGTAAATATGTCATCTGTGGGCTTGATAAAATGTGACAAAGTGTCTAGAACTGTCAGACTGTAAAGTATAGCCTGTAATTTTTTGAAGAAAACACAAGACATGCAGCATTTTAAAGTCATGATGAAATTCACACTTCATAAAGCTTAAAGCAAAAGTCAAAAGAGATGGCAGTGCAGCTGATTTCTTAGGTGGAGATCAAACCTGAGTAGGTGATATGTTAAAAGTCTTCATGTGTCTGAGCCGTGACAAGTTTCAACTGTATTTCATTTGAAGTTTCACAAATGTAAAGAGCTGATCTCACCTACAAGTGCAGAGAGCTCTCTCATCTAAACTACAAATACAATCAGATTCCTAAACTAAAACCTTCTTCTGCTCATTAAATTTGTGGTGGCTGACATATAGGTGAAAATTAGAATTCAATTAATAAGCAACTTTAAAAATCCTAGGTTCCTGCAATTTTTATTTAAATGTATTTTAGCTGTACCGGATAAATTCTATGGGGTGCAGGGAGAAAAAAGTGTTTTGCTCATGGTCTGCTCAACATCTTTATTAATCCCTTCTGTGAACTATTCTTACGTACTTTTGAAAATCCGCATCCATGTTGGTTTAATGAGTATTTTTTACTAAGCATTCACTCTGTTCGAAGGAAGGTTATGCTGTGAATTTTGGCATGCTTGTAGGGATAGCCTCAGTAGTAGAAGATGATTTACTGCTTTCTGTGAATAATTTGTAAACATTCTTTGCATCATTATGTTTTTAAAAAAATTTTACTGATGCAGCATGTTGGTTTTGTTTATTAAAACTTGGCAATACTGCTATTTTGTTTAAACACAGCTTGTGTTTTAACATGTATTTTAAAACAGATTTGTTTTAAAAGAAACAAGTCTTTTACTGAATAGAAATCAATTGTTGTCGTTTTACTGCTCAGGTGAACTGATTGTGAAGGGAAACAGTCGGCAAGCACGATGGTAGGAAAGTTGTTCGGTCAGTTATACAGAGTGCGTTTGAAATCTCATGCTTTTGCTCTGCCTGAGATTTGGAAAAGGTACTTCTGCCTCACTGTAATGCCGGCAAAGCTGCAGTCGGTCTAACTGGCAGGTTAAACTCCAGCTGCATCTTTTGGAGGTTATATGGTGGTTGATTTCAGGAGGTCAGGAGACAAGCTTTGTTCAAAAAAGGCACTGCTGAGAGATATCCTTTAAGGGGGGCAGTTCTCGGTGCTGGGAACCTCTCCATGTATCACCCCAAAGCACGTTTTCCTGTGAAAAGAGCATAACTGATGCAAAGAGGCAGGCTTTGGAGTAATTTGTTTTGTTGTTCGCTGCGTTTTCTTGTTTTGCTTTCAATACCATTTACCATGTTACACATATTTGTAGCAGTGAAATGGAAGAGGGGAAGGAGTGTATTAAAGGTCTGTTTGAATTAGAAAATCTAGAAGGGGATAAGTGGTTAAGATATACTCCTAACAAAAAACAGCTAAGCTCTGAAGAGTGCACTTGATTTTTATTGCCAGCCTGCTGCATTTGACTTTAGCAAGGGGACTGGCCAGACCGAGGAATATCGTTCCAGTACATGCATTTACATGACAAGTGAAACAAGTTCTTGTTAGTAAGCAAACAGTGCCATTTTGATCAGTTAAGAGTGGCAGCAGAGCTAGCTTAAACAGCTTCTCAAACTGGGGTAGAAAAAGGCTCTGTGTGTGACCACCTACTGCTTGGTGGAGGGGGAAGAGTAAGGAGCACCAAAAATTAGTTGGGTTTAAAAAGGTCCTACAGTGGTCTATTTTCAATTCAAAGGAACGGAAATGGAGCTTGAGGGATTCTTCTGTGAACCTCATAGGTCATAAACTCTTTGGAAACCTCTCTTCACGTGAGGAGTAATGGAAGAAGCTTCTACTTTGTCCTTTGAAACGTATATCTCTAGAGAAGGTACACATCTGTGATGTATGAGGATATGTTTTATACACAACACTGGTGTATGTCTCTCTATTCCTCTGACTGTTCTTAGTTCAGATTACGTAGCGTGTAACTCTCAAAGAAAACCCTCTGCTGCTTTACCTTCTTTGAGTTGATGTTTTAGAACTTTTAGAGATGCCAGTTAAAGATGGGATCCTTTGGGAAAGGGCTGTAGGCAGCAGGGGATACAAGGGCACCAGCAAAGTACATGCAAGCAGCAGCAGCTGCCTTGGATTCCCCACAGAGGAAGCAAAAGGGAACAGGAGAAGGCACAGTGAAAACTTGAAGGGAAAAAGTCAGAAAAGCAGCACACTGACAGTAGGGTCTCAGAGGAGTAACAGCAAGAGGTTACCAGGTGCCAGCCTGTGAGGAGGAGCTGTAAGACCACATGAGAGGAATGGTTATGAAGCATAGTGTGTGGGGACATCACATGGAAACATAGTTATCACACGCTGGAATGCTCCAGGCACAAAGCTAGGAATGGTGGGCTGACATAAGCCCTTCTTCTGGCCTTACCGCACTGCTGGGTAATGCTGACTGACCTGAAATTCATGAATACTTATGGCATCAGAGAGGACTTGTGTCAAGAGCCTGTTTCCAATAAACACCTGGAGCTTTCACTTCTAACCTTGCAGTGTCAAGTGGGTATTACTAGGTGTCTGGAGGGGACTCTGGGGACTGCATGGAGATTATGACCTATAATCACAGTTGTTGCTGCAAATAAATTATATTACTGTTTGTCCTTTTTGCTTTCCTGCAGATTCCTACATGGCTAATGAATCGAGGCCCTGCCCATGTGATATTGGAGACAGGTTTGACTATGGAGGCCGTGGGCAGGAAGTGCGAGTTGAGCACATCAAGGCGTATGTTTGCGAACCCCCTGCCAGCACAGACAAAGCTGTGATTGTGATTCATGATATATTTGGATGGCAACTCCCAAACACCAGATATATGGCTGATATGCTAACAACTAATGGATACATGTAAGAAATCTTTCCATCTCCAAGAAATCCCACTCTTTATGATTTCTAGCCTTATGTTAGAACTGTTATTCCCATACGCGAGAGGAAACTATTGCCAGGGCAGTCTGAGTGATCTATCTCCATAATACAAACCCACAAAGGAACATGGCTGTGAAATCTTGCAGAGTACAGCATGCTTCCCTCATACTTTGCTGTTTATGGAAGAAATGACTGCACACATAGAACGCGTAGAATATTGAAAACGTGATGCAGTAAAAAGTGATTCTGATAAATTTCCCAGCAATGTGAGGTGGCTTTAAACAACAATGTGTTCTGAAACAGAAGTGTGTCCTCTATTTTCAGAAGTTTTTTTAAAGTAGTCGTTCAAGCTAAATTAGATGAAGGGATTTTAAAAAATTGTCATCGGGAGAAATATGAATGAATGTCATATATTTTGAATATGGTATTGAATATGGTATTGAATATGCACATCGAATATGTGCATGTGAATGATTCATATGCACACATGGGGTATTAAATACAATCCCCTTCCCTCCTGCAAATTTTTCACACTCACTTTGGGTTCCCTCCAGCAATTAAGTTCCAAAATGCAGCAACATCTTGCAATAACTGGATAATGCTGGAAGGTGCTCCATTTTCAATACACATTACAAACATTCACATGGGGTTGGGACTAGCCTGCAATTCCAAAAAGCAAACCTCCACCTAATTCTAGTGGTAGTTTTGGTCTAGTTTTGAGAGCTAGTGCCTTTAATGCTCTCAGCCTGTGGAGCATGAGGGGAAATCAGGTGTCAGCAGACAGTTGCCAGGTGGCTGAGATCTATCTGTGGATCTGAAAGGAACTCTGTGTCTCTGCAAGGTAAAGATGCTACCTTTGTGAGGATTAGGGTTTTCTGATACACTGGAACAACAAATTGGTCTATAGTCTGTTACTTGCCACTGTCTTTCCTGAGGACTTTACATCCGCTATTTTGCTGCATGATTGGAAGTATGTTTGTCTTCTGACTGAATGCAATCATTTTCAACATGAGACTGGACGTACACCTTTCATGCTGTGCAGGATACTGGCAAATCGCTAGTACGGCAGTGTGCTGCTTTATTACAGTAAGAGTCCACTCAGCTAAAAGTACCCAGTGTCTGATGAATTGGCATTTCTCTGCACTACCTTACTTCCTTTAATTTTACCCTGTGATTCCTGCCATGTCATACTTCTTTTTATAATACCTTCTTTCCCTCCACCTGTACTGCTAATACCGCAGTGGTCAAGGGAAGAAGGCTGGGGTTTCCATTCCGCTCAGCAGGAGGAGAGCTGAGAGTTTTCAGGCAGCAGTGTCTGAATGAAGAGAGGCTGTGTATGTCTTCCCTGATCGCTTCAAGATGCTGCTGAACTGGTGTACCAATGTTCACTGAGAGGAAAATAGATGGATTTTTTCCCTAGTGCAGTATGGGATGAGGAGCTATGAAAGCTGTATTTCAGAGACCACATTAAAACTGATGGCTTGTAGTGTTTTATCAAGCTAGTTTGAGTGGGGAAGAACCTGTTCTATGTGGGCTTGGGAAGGTTCACTTTCAAAGCAATATGTAGCCTTTCTGACGGGCACAAAAGCTGTGCAATTTTGCCTATACCTTTCCAAACACAAGTATGCTGTGGATGTCACTCTTTTTCGCAGAAATAGTCAAACACAGTGTAAAAAAAGAGAAAAAACCTTGCAACGCACTTTGGTCTGTTTTAGGCCAAACTGATCCAGCCGTTTCACCATGATCATTGAGATACATACTGTGTGTCTGAGGCAGGAGAGAGCCAAAAGCATTTAATAAGTGAAAGATGATCGCAATTTCCCAGGGATCCCATTGCTTCCCTGTGAGCTGGGCTTGGGAGAACACACAGCAGCATCAGGGGGTGACCTAGCGATGGCAACCTCCAGAGTCCCTGCTTGTTTCCTTCTGCGTAAGGAGACTGTATTATGCACTAGTGACTGCACTGTGACAGCTCTGCTGCTGGTCATGCAACACGTTTCAGCCAAGGTCATCCCGAGCCAGGGTTTGGGCACCCCGGTGAAGCAGGAGCTCTTTAGCACTGCATGGACTCTTACTGTACTTCCCTTTTTCCAGTCACCAAATGGTGTTTGCAGTAAAACACTCCTCCCTTTCTTTCCACATGTTTTCCCTCCGCTTGGTCTTTGCTGACCTGAATCCATCAGGTGTTTGGGCTTTTTTTTCTAGCTTGTAAGTAAGCCTCATGATGTGCTCTGTAGTAAATAACTATTTTATGTAATTGTCTTTGTTTAAATGGAACCCATCAATAATGGATTTATGTTATTTATGTTATTGTATGTGAAATCTAAAATTGTTGTAATCAGGACCTAGTTTGATCATCTTTTACAATATAATCTGTGTTTTATCGTGTATAGTTTCAAATTATGTACACAAAACAGGTAAAATACTAGGGATAAAAATATTAATTTTTTCCAGTTTTGTATCACAAATTGTATTATGTGGTTTAGTCATTGAAAAAAGCCTGTATAGATACCTATAAATGTTTTCTAAAGCTCATAGGTGTTTCTGTAGAATAGTTAACAATGATTTGTAAAAACATTACTTTCTCAGGAAAAAGAAATCAAAACAGAATTATTCCTGGATAGAAACTTTCCATGCTATGAAGGGCCAAAAAACCCTCAGTGTTTGATTAATTCATTCAATTTTCATTTTTTTGTGTGTGTTGTGTGTGTAGAGCCATCTGCCCAGACTTTTTTACAGGAAGAGAAGCTTGGAAGCCTTCTGAAGACTGGTCCAGGTGTGAAGATCGGCTGAAAACTTGAGATGCCAGGAAAATAAACAAGTAAGATGCCAAGGAGTTGGATATCACATTGCCTGCTGCTGTCAGATACTGCCTTTTTCCCCCCCCCTCGTTTTGTTTTGTTTTGTTAGAGATTGGATGCAGCTAATCTACCAGTGAAGGTGGCCTTTCTAATGACTCCTTAGAAGTGGATGGAATCAGAGATTTTTTATTTTTGCCAACTCTCTCAGTAGTGGCTTCGTGAAGAGTTTTGTCATCTGATGTTGATATCATAGACTACTAATTGCTTCCTCTGCCTCAAAAAGCATGGTTTAAAAATGACCAGTGACACAAGCTGTGGGAAAGCATAATTCTCATCTTGAGTCTCACCATGTGTAACATACTGGTACTTTGAGATGTTGCATGGAAAGAAGAAAAGAGTTTTTGATTGTGCCGTAGTACTTGCCCAGCATAGTGTAACTGGCCCCAGGTAGCCGATGGCTGGATCATCGGTTGTCAGGGTGCAGTGCGGGCTGGTGACTTCCGGGGGACAGGGTGCTGGGAGCCAGGAGGAGTACCATGTCTTCCCTTGCCATGTGCAACCCTGTGTTTATCAGCAAAAGCCTGAGCATTTATCAGCAAAGGCCTGTCACTAGCAGAAGTGCTGTGCTGCCTTAATAACACAGGAGGAAGCTGTTGGCAGGACAATACTGAGAAGGGGTCAGACTAATTAGAGATCAAACTAACTAATTTCTTGTGAGAGCAAATATCTTTCTTGGACTGTTGGGAGTAGCTACATTGAAGGTTGCTGGGCTTAGGTATTTGGTGAGAAGGTTATGGGAGACAAACAGAATCATTTCCAGAGAGCTCCTGTCTCAGAGGGGTCAGTTGTTGTGGAAACTTTTTAGTTTGGAATCTGTCTCCTCTCTGATGCAGTGGGAAGGAAGGGTTGGGCTCTGCCTGGCATTTCTTACAGGCGATTCACATATTTCAAACGTCAGTTCCAGTGAAAAAAGAATTTTTTGGCACATAATTTGCTTCTGTGTGTGTTTGTGTGTTGGCGGATAATGTGGTATTTGCGAGGCTGATGTATTGATGGCATATATAGTTTGCATGCCCCAGGGGGCGAGGAACTGCGGCTGAAAATACAGTCTTGAGGTGATATACAAGACTTAACTGCTACCTCTCTCCCACCAATACTTTGTCTTTACTGCCTCTGCATGCTGACACCTGCTTCAGGGGTAAATAGGTGTTTTCAGAATACAGCATCTAGGCAAGGTGTATTTCAAGGTACACTGTAAATTCTGAAAACATCTACCATGTTTGTTACATTGACTTTCCTGCAGCAAATATCTCAGTTATTGTCAGCATTTTGACTGTCTAATAAATAGTATTCTCTAGAGAGGCTTTTATTACTTTTTATGTCTACATTTACCAAGCAAAAATTCATCCAGCTTCTCAGAGAAATTTAAGCTTTTTTAACTCTTAGGTAGGTGTTTAATCAATCATCAACTTTCCCTTCCTTTAGGTTTCCTTTGATGTATGTTATTCATGTTGTGTTTTTATTTAATACCATTCAGTTCTTTTTTTTTTCTCTTTCTGATGATTTCAGATTAGCAACCCCTAATAAGGGGTTTTGTCTGAAATAATGATTTATTCAAAGTATGTGAAAGAAAATATAGTAGCAGACACTTATATGTCTATATTTTCATATTTTCAAATACTGGTTTTACTATGGGTGCTTAATTGCATTTGCTTATATGTTCTAGAGAAGCTGATGTTGTCCTGAAATATCTAAAGGAACAGTGTGGTGCAAAGAAATTAGGGGTCGTTGGTTTTTGCTGGGGTGGTATTGCTACACGTCACCTGATGATGACATACTCGGAATTAAAGGCTGCTGCGTCTCTCTATGGTAGGTAAATACCATGATAGGTATTTACCTCTATGGTAGGTAATATCTCTATGGTAGGTAAATGTACCAAGCAGGTACACATGCATATGTATATTGTGTAGCTTTAGTACTTGATCTAGCACTATTTCTTCAAATCAGACTGTCAGCTGATGAAGAGAGATATTTCAGGAGAGTAGGAAGGATGTTATGCAAAGAAGATCACAGAATCACAGAATCACAGAA